CCCAGCAGTGCCCCTTCCCTGTCCCCCCACTCACAGAGGGGGCGGCTCCGGTACTTCCGCACGGTTCTCACTTTCTCAGCAATGCAGTGCTGAGGCACAGAGAGACCCCAGAGTCAGTCCCAGCCCCCTGAGACCCCACCCAGGCCACCTGGCGACCAGTGACCCCTCCAGGAGCCTCCTCCACCCTCAAGGACCCCCCCAGGAACCTGTTCTGCACCCAGGAGACTCTGAACCCTCCCACTCCCCCAGACAGGCGAGCCCCAAACCCTCGGGGAATAGGGGTCCTCCAGCCCCTCAGGGGAGTCTCCTCTCCCCTGGCCTCATCCTGGGGGTCCCTCTGCCCCATTCCCCCCTAGAACCCACCAGTTTCTCCACGTTGACCAGCCCATCCAGGAGGGTCTTGCTGCCTTCATGTAGGAAGGTCAGATCTAGGGGAGAGAGGGGTTGATGGGGGGTCCCATGAAGTGTCAGAGGGACCCCAACCCACCGAGGGGAAGCCCCTGAGACTCCCCTCACCTTTGAGGATGAGCGGAACGAAGGGGATGAGGGGAGGCTTCATCTTGGCCAGCACCTCCCGGTAGGTCTTGTGGTTCCTGCAGGGGTCCTGGGGGGGAATGGGGGGGGTCAGGCTTTGGGGGGGCTCCCCAGGGATGCCCTGAATCCCCCTCCCCATGGTGGTGGCCATGGTTATAGGGCTGGTGGCCTGGGGGAGAGGGGCAAGGACATCCCAGGACACCCTGGGACACCTCAACACTGTCCCCTGCTCACCAGAACCCCAAACACCCCCAGGAGAGGCCTGGGGATCCCCCAACACCCCCAGGGGAGGCCTGGGGATTCCCCAACACCCCCAGTGGAGGCTTGGGGACCCCTCAAGACCCACAGCAGCCCCCACACCTCTCACCCACCGTCAGGTTCTCAAACTTCCGAAACAGATTCTTGAATTTCCCTGGGAGCTTCTGGAAGACAAAAAAGGGGAGAGGGTTGGTAGCATCCAGCAGGGCCAGGGAGCACCAAAGGAGAGGGCAGGAGCTTCCAGGAGGTTCTGGGAGAGGCCAGGAAAGGGCCAGGGAGCATCTGAGGGTGTCCAGAAAGGCCCAGGAAGGTCTGGAAGCATCCAGGGGTAGTCTAGGAGCACCCAGAGGAGTCCTGGAAGTACTGAGGTAGGGGTGTGAGCTCTTGGAGGGTTCCAAGGGCATTCAGGGTAGGGTCTGGAAGAACCCAAGAGAGGTCTGGAGCAGCCAGGTGTGGGCACAAGCATCTCAAGGGTCCTGTGAGCACGTGGGCAGTGTCAGGAAGCACCCAGGGGGTGGTCTGGGAGCATCCAGAGAGTCCTATGAACACCGGAGGGTGGAGTGAGAGCATTTAGGGGCAGTCCAAGAGCACCCGGCAAAATTCTGGGAGTACTGAGGAGGAAGGGAGTTCCCAGGGAGCTCCATGAACACACAAGGGAGGTCTGAAAGAACCCCAGGAGGGGTCTAGGAGCAGCCAAGTGTGGGCACGGGCATTCTGAGGGTCCTGGGAGCACCTAGGGGTGGTCTGGGAGCATCCAAAGAGTCCTGGGAGCATTGGAGGTGGGGTGGGAGCTTCCAGAAGGAACAGATAGCACCCAGGGATCAGTCAGGAAACGGTCAGGGAGCATTTGGGGTTGTTCAGAAAGGCACAGGAAGATCTGGGAGCACCGTGAGGGTCAGGGGCGCTCCAGCCCTCACCTCCCAGGTGAGGCGCAGGCGGCTGACGGCGGCGTTGTTGAGGCCAATGACGATGGCGTAGAAGGAGAGCATGTCCTGGTTCTGCTTACAGCTGGTGGAAGACAGCGTGAGGGGTGGGCTGGGCACCGCAGGGACCCCCCTGCAGCCCCCCCGTGCCCTCCCTCACTCACATGGCAGCGATCTTGATGAGCTTCTTGAGCAGGTGGGCGCGCTTGCCCAGCCCCTCGCAGAGCAGCAGCTCCGTGCCCACCCAGTGCTGCACTTCACTGCAGCGCTGCAGCAGCAGCTCCAGGTTCGCCGTCTCCCGCCGGCCCCGCTCCCCGTGGAACACGTAATCCACGAATTCCAGCTGGGGGGGATACACACATTCCATCAGTGCCCCCCCCTTCCACAGCATGGCAACTCCCGCGAGCCCCCCGAGCCCCCCAAACCTCGTGGATGCAGCGGAAGAGCTCCCAGTGGAAGGCTGTGAGGTGGTTGGCGACATCCTCGGGCTCGGCACGGTGGATCTCGGTGTCTCCCGGGACTACCTGGATCTCCTCGGGCAGCGGCACCTGCGAGAGGACACCGGGCAGGGCACTCAGGGTGCTGGGAGGGTTCTGTGCAAGGAGTGATCGCGGTGCCAGGGCCGTGCAGGTGATGGGGGGGTCCCTGCCGGGGTGTCCCCACCGCAGGGCTCACCAGGGAGTCGAAAGTGTCCCTGGTGCAGGCGAAGAGGTGGCTGTTGATGCCCAGGGTGGTGAACACGCACTCCTCGCTGGGCTGCAGCACCGCTTTCTCTGCAGAGGGGCACAGGGTGGGGTCAGCACCGGCCGGACCCCCCAGCCCCACCCGCAGCACCCCCAGCCCCCCGGGCACCTCCGGACGAGGCCATGGTGACGAGGATGAGGGCGTCCCCCCGGGTACTCTGCTCCTCCGAGTACTGGAGCTTCTCGGTGACCGAGGCCAGGATGTCCTGCACCGAGGCCGAGAGGCGGCTGCGGATGGTGACGTACGAGTGGTCGGGCATGTACACGCGGCAGAAAACTGGGGAGAGGGCGGGGGGTCAGCGCCGGGCACCCCCACACCACCCCGGGCACTGCCCATCGGGGAAACTGAGGCACGGAGCAGACCCTGGGCAGACCCGGAGAGGGCACGGCCCCTGGTACAGCGGCTCGTGGGTCATGGAGGGGGCTCCAGTCCCCCTCAGCTCTCCACACAGTCACTCACTCTCGTCAGAACCCCGAAATGCCACCCGGGTCTGCAAGCAGGAGTCGATGCGTCGGAAATGCCGGAACAGCGGCTTCACCTGCTTGTTCGGGGGGGGGGTCTCGTCGGCCACCCTGTGGGGGCACAGGACAGGACTCAGGCAGGGCCCCGGACCCCCGGGGCTGCACCCCGAGACCTGTGGGTGCCATGGCAGCCCCCACCCAGGGCCTCGCTCGTGGCAGGTTGGGCACAGGAGGAGGGTGGGCACGAGGGTGCAGTGCGGAGGGGTCCGAGGCTGCGCATGGTGAGGGCATGAGGGGGCACAAAGTTGGATGTGAAGGTGCAACCAGGAGAGCACCAGGGTGGGCTGCTACTGACCCCCCCGGCCCCTGGGCACCCTCACAACTCCTTGTCCTTCTTGGGGACTCCCTGAGGGGACCCCTAGGATCCTCTGCCCTCCTCAGGGACCTCCTGACCCAGAGGGAACCTCAGGACTCCCTGCCCTCCCTGGGGATCCCTTGTCCCACAGGGAACCTCGGGACTCCACAGGATTCCCTGCCCTCCCCAAGAACCTCTCACCAACGGTGACCCCTGGTCCCCGGGGGACCCCTGACCACAGGCACCCCTAGGACCCCCTGACCCTCTTCTCACTTGAGCTCCACAGTCTCCACGAGCTGGTGCAGCTTGATGATCTCATCCTCCAGCTCGTGGTAAAGGGACGTGTCCTTCATGATGAGCAGGTAAAGCTCCTGTGGGGCAAGACGGGTCAGGGCTGGGACTGCAGGACACTGAGGCGGGGACACGGGAAGGGGACACCCACCTTGATGACCTTCCCGGCGCTCTCCTCCTCCTGCAGCAGCCCCTTGTAGGTCTCGAGGAAGTGCAGCAGCACGGCCAGCACTGCCCGCTTGCGCCGCAGCCCAGACCCCTCCTCCCAGCGCGCCGGGGGGCTGCCCGCCGCCAGCACAAAGGTGGCACTGTCAAGGAGGTGCCACGGCAAGGAGGGACCCTCGGCCACCCCCCAGCGCCTGCTGCACCAAGGGACCTCAGTGAGGGTTGTTGTGCCCTCCCTGGTATCACCACACTGCCCACCTTACATCCAAACCTGTAGCCCATCCTCATGGCACCTCAGTCCCCTTCTTGCTGCTCCTGTGAGCCCCCTCACAGCACCCCGCTGCCCTCCCCATGTCCCCTTGCAGCCCCATGCCCACCCTTTTGTCACTCTCATGGCCACCCTTGTGCCAGCTTCACGGCAGCCTGGTGTCCACGCTGGTGCCCTCCTGGCTGCACCTTCATGCTAACTCTTGTGCCATCACCTTGTCCCCTTCACGGTCCCCTTATGCCCACCCTCACTACCCCCCAATATCCTTCTCATGCCCAGCCTCGGACCCCTCCTCCTTGCACCCTCGTGTCCTCTCTCATGCCCCCCTCATGCCCTCCCTGTGCTCAACCTTGGACATCTCCCCATTGCACCCTCTCTTCTGCCCCTCCACAGCACCTTTGTACCCACCCTCACTGAACCTCAGTGCCCTCCTCATTCCCAACCTCAGACCCCTCCTCACCCACCCTCGTTCCCACCCTCGTGGCCCCCGGGGACCCCAGGATATTGCTGGTGCAGCTGCTGCAGGAAACGCTCGGTGGGCAGGAACAGCGAGTGGGTGAGCACGATGTCATCCAGCAGCGACTCTGGGGGGACAGGGGCACAGATGTGGGCACCCGTCCCCCACAGAGGCCCCCGACACCCCCGGGGCCCCATTCGGGGTGGATGCGTGGGGGAACGATGGTAATTCACAGGGTGACACCGGGAGAGGCCGAACCCCACGCGAACCCCCCCGCGCCAGCGCTGACTCAGGGCCCGCTCCCAGCCCCGGGGCAGCCGGGCCCGGCCGAGCCGGTGTGGGGGCAGAGGCGCCGGCAGGGCGGGACTGGGGCCGCGACACCCTGGCACACCCGAGAGCCCCGTGAGAGCCCGACCGCGGGCACAGCAGGACACGGCGAAGGGAAACTGAGGCAGGCAGCTTGGGGCACACAGGGCGGGTGCCACAGCCGGGTTCTGTGGGGTAGCATGGGTGGCACCACCCTGTGAAGGTGTTTTGGCAAGGCCAGATGAGCCGAGGGCCCGGTACCGGCGTCTGTGCCCGTCAGAGCCGGCATCAGTCACCACCACGACCTTTGGACGAGGCACCGCTCCCTCGTCTGGCACCAGCACAACCCTCGGCCCCGAGCGGGTCCCCAGCCGTGGGTTCCCAAGAGCTGTGCCCAAGTGCCCCAGGGATACAGTGGTGGGACCCCAGAGCCCTTCCAAGGGACCTGACCCACAGAGGGCCTATGCAGAGCATCCACCCAGCCACTCCCCAGTCATCCCCCAGACTGTTAACCCGGTCACGGATCAGTGCCAAGCCAGGGCAGAGGGTCCCCTGGCACTCCCGCGCCGTGCACAGCACCCAGGGGGCATCAGCTGCTGCCAAAAGCAGGACACGGCAGTCTGGGGCACAAGGACAGACAGGGATAGCAGCAGCACGGGGGGTGTAGGTACACGGCTTCCAGCTGTCCCCGCTGTCCCAGCCCCCTGCCCTGAGTGCAGCTCCCTCCCAGGTTCTGCCTGTGGGGCAGGAGTTGAACACTCCCCCCATCCCTTCAGGCTGCAGCCGCCCCCCAGCCCTGCCTCAGTTTCCCCATCCTGCTGCAGCACTCACTCTGTACCCCAGAGCAGCAGAGACGTTTCCCTGTGTCGGGACCCCCATGCTGGCTCCTGCCCCCCTGCTCCGTGCCAGCCCGGGCACCACCAGGCCTGGCAGCTTGTTTGTGCAGGCAGTACCTGGCGCTACCAGTCCCAGCTCGCCCCTACCCGAGGGCTCCTCTTGTCGGTGGTTGCACCCAATCCTTGCCCTGGCATCACTGGAGCAGGGGGCTGGCACTGGCCTGGGGTCCCTGGCAGCCTCTGGTCCCAGCAGCCGAGTGGAATTGGCCGGGACAGGCGATCCCCGTGGTGTGGGAAGGCTCCAACCCACCTGTACCCAGCCTGGCTCCCACCCAGCTCTGGCACCAAAACCACCCCAACACCTGGGCACGGGTAGCCACGGTGGGACAGCACCGGGAGGCCTGTGCCAGAGAAAAGGGGAGTCGAACCGGCCCCCCCCGCTCCACTGCAGCTCCCATCGGGGCTAATTTTAGCACCAGGAGGATGTTAAGGACCATCCAACCGGGAGGTGGATGCTGCAGTGACTGCCGGTGCCCGGCCATCCCCGGCCCCCACCGAGCTGGCGCTGTCATTGAGCCCATATTCCCTTGCCAGCACCTCTGCCGTGCTGTCTTGCCCGCGGAACCCCTGCCCACCCCTCAGACTGCTGCCCACCCCGCTGCCACGGACGCCCTGCCCCGGCGGAGACCCAGCCTTGACCTTGTCACCTCAACCAGGCACCGCTGTACCCTGTGCAAGGCCACCCGCCTCAGCGGGCACAGGGGTCCCCCACTCCGCTGTTTCCCACCCCAGCATCCACCAGCGCATCCCCCCCGCAAGCAGCGGCCGCCCCCGGTCTCTCTCCGCTCCGCCGCATCGCCCGCGATCCACGCGCTCCCCGCCCCGGGCAGCCCCGCAGCCCGTCCCGGCGGTCCCGCAGCCCCGTACCTGCCCCGCAGCCCCTCCCGTGTGCAGCCGCCGGCAGCCGGTCGAGGAGCGCGGTCAGGAGCCGCTCGGGGGGCGCGGGCGCGGCGGGGGCGCAGCCGCAGCCGCAGCAGCACCGGGCGGCGGGCGGCGGCTCCGGGCTCGGTGGCTCCCGGTCCCGATCTCGATCGCGGTCGCAGCCCGGTGACGGGTCCTCAGGGGAGCGGAGCGGTGCCTCGGGTGGTCGTAGCTCCAGCCAGCGGCTCTCGCCCCCCGGTACCGGCCCCGCGGGCCCCGCCGGCTCCTCGGGGGAGGCGGGCGGGCGCGACAGACTCTGCCGCCGTGGCGCAGGCACCGACCCCGGCCCCGGTACCTGCCCCGGGGGGGCGGCGGGGCGGACGGGCAGGTGCGAGCCCGGCTTCTTCAGCAACTTCTCCAGCGGCTTCATGGCCGCCCGGGCGCGGCGGCGGCGGCGGCTCAGGGGCCCATCGGCGGCGGTGGCGGCTCCGTTCGGCTCCGCTCAGGCTCGGGCCGCGGCGCCGCTCCCCGCCCGCCCCGCACCGGCTGCGCGTTGCGCCCGCCCCACACCGGCCCCGCCGCCAGCACCGCCCCGCCCCGTTACGGCCCCGCTGCCGCCGACCCCGGCACCTGCCCGCCCCTTTCCCCGCATCGTCGCCACCCCCGGGCCCGCCAACGGCACCTGCCCGCCCCCTCCCCGCACCACTGCACTCGGCACCGAACCCGCCCCGGGGCTGCGGTGACACTGGCTCGCACCAGGATACGGTCGCTCCCCGCTTCCCCGCACAGGTGATGCATTACACACCCCCGCATCCATCTCTCCGCATTCCCTTGTCGCATCCCCGGGGTACCACCACGCGCCCCCCACCCACGCACACCGTACAGTCTTGGGGGGACACAGCCCAGAGCCTGTCACCCCTCGCTGTCACACACCGCGACCAGGGGGCACAGCCCCACAGCCCCTTGCCACGTGCTGCCTCACAACCCCGGCACACCCCCGGCACACCCCCGTGCCCGGTCCCCCCTGTACACCCACACAGTTTCCCCATGCCAGCCCAGGATCACATGGCACCGCCACTCACAAGTATCCCCTGAACGCGGGCACATCCCCAGTTGTGGGGTGACCTACCCCCGGACCCCCAGCCCAGCTCTCTGCACCCGCTGCAGCGTGGGAAAGGGCAGGGTGTGGGTGCGAGACCCCCCACCCTGGCACCCCTGGGGCTGAGTTCCCCCGCGGGCAGGGTGGGCAGGTCGGGGTGGCTGCCAGACCCCCCCACTTCCGCCGCCTGCCAGGCTGGAACGGGCCCCGGCGTGCCGCAGCAGGTGCCGGGGCAGGTTCCGGGGCAGGGCAGGGCAGGGCGAGATGTGGCGCTTGCCTGGGGCTGATCCTCCTGCCCCGCTCCCGCGGGGTGCTGAGCACCCATCCTGCCCATACCCACTGCTCCCAGCCCCACCTTGCACCCTCTGGACAGGCCAGCATGTGGCAGTCCTCTTCTCCCGGGTCCATCCCCCTGCAAAACCACAAGGGATACCAGGGAGGACCCTGTGGCAACTCCAGGGTGGGATGGTGGCAGCGGCCAGGGGGACACAGCAAGTGACCCCACGGCCTTTGGCGGGCCCCACTGCCCAGAGGGTTTGGGTAGAGATGGAGGAATGAGGGTCCCAGCAGCTCCTGCATTGTTCCCGCTTCGCCTCCACCCGGCAGTTGCCTGGCAACTCCATCCATGCGGCTGCCAGAGAGCGGCAAAACATGTCCCCACATCCCCATCCCCATCCCCGGCTGTATGAGGTCCTGCCGGGATGGCACAGCATGGCATGGCCCAACACGTCCCTCCTCTGTTCCTCCAGCCTCCAGCATTCAGATCCCCCACACCCCATCCAACACCCCCAAAATATCCCATTCTGCTGAGCTCCTTCATGCCCTTTCCCCACGGCATCCAGACAAGGGTTCTCCGAGCAGGGTGCAAGTGGTGCTGCTGGCCAGGTTCAGCCATGTAAAGAGGGGATTCTCCTGACAGCAGGAGGGGAAACTGAGGCACAGAGAGACACCCCCCCCCCCCCCCCCCGAGACCCCACACGCTGGTGACAACGAGGATGCACTGGGCCACACAAGCAGAAGGGACCTGGAGCACTGTAGCATGCTGAAGGCAATGCTCCCCCTGGGAAAAGTGCCCCAGATCTGGCCTGTCCCATCCCCTCTCCCCATGTCAGCAGGGATGGGGGCACTGCTGGCGCAGAGCGAACTATTGGCTTAATTAATTTGCTGTTATTTCTCCTAACGAGCTGGGATCTGGAGCGGGTGCTTCCCTCGGTTGGCAGCCAGCGCATTCCCCCGCCCCGGCAGTGAGCCGGGGGTGCGAAGCCTCCAGGCACTGCTCAAAACAGACCGTGTGTAGGAGGGAAAAATTACACCCCGGGAAAAATCCCTCCCCAAGCCAGCGCCTTAACCCACTTCCCAGCTGCAGTGCTGGGAGAAGGGAGTCAGGCATTTTGGGGAAGGGGAGAACAGACACAAGATTGAGGCAGCTCCTCCATGACGTCCTTGTGAAGGGCTGAGCCAAGTCTTAGACCATGCTTAGACCTCATCTGATGCCAGGGAGGGAAACTGAGGCAAGTGGCATTGGAGAGGGATGGAGAAGCACAGCAGTGTGGACAGAAAGGTGATGCCTCCTGCTTCTGCTGCTGCTTGTGCTGCTTTGGGACCCTCACCCTCCTGCCAGAAGTGAAGGAGACCTGAAGGGAAGGGAGGAAAAGGGGGTGGGATGCAAAGTGGGGAGTCCCTTCTGCCCTTCAAAGCCACCCTTCCACCATGGCATTGGCAGGGCCCACCAGCATCTTTCCCCTGTCCAGCCTGGCTGCAGGAGGCATAGCTCACTGTGATGCCCCATCCACAGGATCAGGGTGTAACGGGAGTGGGATTCACGCCCCCCTCACCTCTATTTGGTGTGGGCAGATGGGTGGGGGGCTGGCAGGAAGCTGTGGCTGCCGAGGTGGAGGCAGCATGGCACAAATGCGCGGGTGGCAGCTCCCGCACCACCAACGCAACAGTTGGCCCTTCCCCGTGAGCCAGTGAGGCTGGAGGAGAGGAGGGGACTCACATCAGCCCCAGACAGACAAGGGGGCTCCCTCCAGCCCCACAACCAGGGCAGAGCTGGGGATGGTGGCAGCTGCTTCCAGGGATGTGGGGGCGAGGGTGGCTGGCGCCGGGCACAGCAGAGCTGCAATTTCAGTCCCACCGTGAGCTCCTGAGAAGGGCAGAGTTGTACCTAGGAGAGCAGAATGGCTCCTGGGGAGGGAGCAGTTCCTGAGAGAAAGCAGAGGTAGCACTGGTCCTGCTAGGGAAGCTCAGATGGACACTGTCCCTATGGGTCCCAGTTCCAGGAGGGACACACAAGAGCTGTCTGCTTCCTACAACACTGGTAGGGGTGTGCATCCCACAGAACAGGAATCCAAATAATACCAAAACCCTAGCATGGGGGTGTAAGGTGCAGGATTTCAATCGTGTGACCAATGCACCAATGACACACGGTGACATCTAAAACATGAGGGGACTCTGCTTTGGGAACGTGGCTTTGGTGGCTGAAACAAGACACAAAAGGTCACAGACTCACAACCACCCAACAAAGAAGGAATTTCTGCTGGAGAGCCAGGTATGGATGAGGGATCCACACAGAGAATGAGCTGGGGGTGCTGGTCCCCCATCCTGGCCACAGATGGGGACAGAGTGGCCGAGCCACCACTTGCTCGGTGATGTCCCCCTCACCCAGTGCCTGCGCCGGCAGCTGGCGCGTCCCCACGGCGTCCCGGCACGTGCTCAGGAGAGCAGCAGGCATCGGCAGGAATGGGCAGGAATGAGCAGCCGGCCCTGCCAAGTTTCCTAATGCAATTTGCAAACGGCTGCGAGGACGTGGCCAAGCCAGAGCCGGAGCGGGGCCGGAGCCGCGGAGCTGGAGGGATGCGGGATGCAGAGCGGCAGCACTGCGGCACAGGTGAGCCAGCCAGGATCAGCGTGGCACAGCTGCGGCGACAGTCACCCCATGGGCTCAGGAATCCCAAAGGAGACACAAGGCTGCCATGGGGCAGGAGCTGGTGCAGGGCTGAAGTGCTTCCTTGTAGGGCCGGAGCCCAGCCCGGTGCGTTGGGGCGGGTTCCAACACCCTCCACAGCCTCAGCAGCAACACCCAAGTGCTGGGAGCAAACCTGGCCCTGCCGAGCTGGTTTGGGTGCTGGCTGGGCTGCTCGGGCAGCGTCGGGGTGCTGGGCGCCCACAAACCTCCCCCTCTCTCTGTTGATTTGGCAGAGGGAGGGTGGAAACGTCCCCTTGTGCTGCTGGGGGAGCACAGGGATGGGAGTCATCCTGTGGATTCCCACCTGAGAGCTCACAAACACCAGTTACCAACAGTTTTTTGGGAAAAGAATCAGCAGGAGCTTCTAAGTTGCGGTTCCTGCCCAGGCAGTGCACTCCTGACAGTTTCCCACAGCTCCATTGCCCTTCCCCTGCTCCAAAAGTGGGAGAAATCAAGTTGAAATTGAAAAATTAATTGAAAAGAGAATTGAAAAGAAGAATGAACTGGGGTGAGGGGATGTCACTGCTGCTTACCCAAACAAATAAAAAACTAAATACCCAAAAGAAACAAATCAGCTTTACTGAAGGAGCTGCTTCATTCCTTAAATAAAAACAGAGACCACGATCAAGCCAGCGGAGTTTGACATCCCAGGAGGGAGCAGGGAACGTTTAGTAACGGGGAGAAGTTGGGAGAACGTGTGGCCAAGGACCGACTCAGGGGTTGGTTCTTTGGCGGCCCCAGCACGGGGGAGAAGGGGGGTCGGCAGCAGCGAGATGGATTTTGGGAAGGCACCACTCGGGCCATGGGGGAAGTGCCTGGTCCTGAGCACAGTGCAGGTGTCCAATCCCGCTGCCTCACCTCCGCACAGGGAAGGAGCCATTCCAAGGAGCAGCTTCCTCCTCGCTGAGGGGCCGAGTCTGGTGCTGGGATTCCTGTGGCTGTGTCCCTACGTGTTGCTCCTCTCCTTTGATTTTTCACCTTTGCTGTCCTGGGAGGGGGGAAGAGGGAAGAGCAGCAGAGGTTTAGGACCCCCAAACCCCTCATGGTGGGGGGACAGTGCTATGGCTGGGTCTTGCCAGCAACCCCCCGACCCGTCTCTCTGGGCACAAGCCCCCTCTGCCAATCTCTCCTCACGGTTCCATATTTTTTCCATCACGAGGCCTTTCCAGGGCCCCTCCATCAGAAAATTTGCTTCTCAGCCCTCCCCAGCTACAGGAACCCACTGGCACATGCCTGCCCGGGTCTGGGCTTGCTTGGCTCCCATATGTGAAGGTAAGGAAAGGGAAACCAAAAACACACATGGCATTCCAGCACGCTCACACATGCACAGCTCACAGCACTGGAGCAAGGAGACCATTTCCAGCACAGGAAAGCCCTCGCATCCTGAAAAACCTTTAACTCTCCTGCCTGAATTATCTGCTGAGTTCTCAATGTTTATCCTTCCAGAGAACTCCCTGCCTCCTAGCTCCTCCAGCCAGGGCTGGATTTTTCCCTCTCAAAATCGTCCTGTTTTCTAACCCTGAACAAATAAAATAAAAAAGAGTCAACTTCAGACTTACTTTTTACGTGGTTTTAGTTTTAAAGATTTAAGTAACTCAAATTAACTGGAGCCCTGCTTACCACCTGCAACGAGAAGCTGAGGTTTGGGACAGGTCAGAGATGAGACAGTTTAAGATTTCCCCTTTACAAACGAACAACGTTACTTTTTTGGGATGGGAGGGGGGAACTGCAGCCTCACACACACACACACCAGTGACACCACACACACACACACACAAGGACTGATGATGAGGGGATGGTACCTCTGGAGGGGGTGGCTTGATGGTCACAGGCTGGGACGTCCGGCGGGGCGGGGAGGGCTTGGGCTGCACCTGCTGCTGGACAGTGTTGTAGTAGGTGACCCCCCCATAGACCTGGGACTGCGCCTGCAGGAGCAGCAGGATCAGAGCTCGGGGCTGGGGGGCCCTGCGAGCCCCTCCTGGCATCCACTGGGGTTGGATGTCGCCCCCAGCCAGAGCCAAGAGGGGCTGTGCCCTCCAGAGATCAGCTCCTTTGTGTGTCTCCATCCCTCACTAACATCCCCTCACTCCAGCAGGGACAGGACACAGCCTATGCAGATGGGATTCCCTCACCCTGCAGTCCATGGAATGCCTGAACTTCCCAACAGCAGCTTTTCCACTTGGACACAGCTCCCCTGCACATCCAGCCCTGCAGCCTGGGGGGAAACTGCCTTCAAAGCGGGGCGAGGTCTGCCAGCATCAGCGGGAGCAGTGGGAAGGGCAGGGATGGTTGGGAGCTCAGGGAACATGCAGCTCTCCAGCCTTCCACGGCGTGTCAGCCCTGCTCCAGCCACGGCACCACGATCTGGTCTGCTCTGGTCTCATCTGCCTTTTCAAGAATCTGGTCTGATCTGCCTGCTCAGGGATTACAACTATCTGACTCCTCACAGGGATCAGATCTGGTCTGATCCTCAGAGAAAACCAATCAAATCTGCTTCCTCAGGCATCTGATCTGATCTGATCTGATCTGCCTCCTCACAGGAACCTGGCTGCTCCGATCCATGTCCCTACAGATTCTGGTCTGGTCTGCCTGCTCAGGGATCAGATCTGATCTGATCTGCCTCCTCAGAGACCCAATCCAATTTGCCTCCTCACT